CACACACACACACACACACACACACACACACACACACACGCTCCCTCACTCTCTCTCCCATCATACTGTACTTAAGGAGCAGCACTTGGCATTGGAAGGGAATTTGATCTATCTGGTATTCAGGAAGGCCAGGGAAGGCATCTCTGAGAAAGTGAGCAGAGGTCAGAAGGATAAAGGGAGAGAAAAGCAAGGCATGCTGGGGAAATAGCGTGTACAGAGGCCTGAGGCTGGAAGCAGAAGGGGATAAAGATCATCTGGGAGGCCCAGGAGAAGGCTGTGGTGCTGGAATGAGGAAAGGTGGCTGCAAGACAGTACTCGATAAGGTGGGAGGGGTCCGCTGGAGCAGAACTTGCCAAGACATAGCCTTTCTTTCTTTTTTAAAATCTATTTTTATTGTTTTAGTCTGAACTTTATAGTTATACATAGTAGTTGGGTTCATCTCAACAAACTCATACACACATGGAATTCAATTTCGGTTCATGATCCCCCTGTTTCCCTCCTGCCCTTCCTCCCCTCTCCTATTCTCCTTTCTCTACTAGACTTCCTTTGGCTTATCTATTTATTTATATTATATTCGATTGGTTCTTTCTATCTATGCATAAAGGTGAAGTCCCCTGTGGTGTATTTATATGTACACATGATTTTTTTTTTTTTTTTTTGGTGCTGGGGATTGAACTCAGGGCCTTGTACATGTAAGGCAAGCACTCTACCAACTGAGCTATATCCCCCAGCCCTCACATTACATGATTTTTTAAATAATTCATTCTGCACTGCCTCCCCTTACCCATCCCTCCACTCTGCCTCTTGATCTCCTTTTGAATTATTGGTCTCCCATAAGGCTCTATTCTTGGTTCCCTCATTCCCATGGTTGGTATGATTTTGCTTTTCTGGAGTGACGCTCACGGACAGAGGGGTTCATTGAGACTATGATGGTCAGAAAGTCTTATCATGGTTTCTAAAAGCCTTTGCCTGCTGTCAAGAGGTGTCTGAATACATTCTTGATGGGTTTCACTCATGCTGCAGCTGCAATCCCCCCGGGTCTTGGTGAAACCTCACCTTGGCAAAAGCATCTCGGCCGTAGCAAGCTTCTTGTTCTGTGTGCTGCTTGTCGATGATGTCACGGCCTGTGGCCACTGTCCTGTAGAGAAGGGCTTTCTCAACCATGTCTGTCTTAGTAGAGAGCAATTCCGCTATGATAGACACAACCTTGGTGTTCTCGATGAGAGGTGTGTCACCGTCCACTACAAATTTTAAATTTCCCTATATCAGAATTGAAAAGAAGAAGACACATCATTTCCAGTGAGGTTCTGAAATATTATGTCAGGGATATATTTGCCAATTTAAAATACAATTCAAGTGTCCTTGTTTGCACCCATCTTCCCAAGATGGGTGTGATTCTGTTTGAATCTTCTGGGTTTTGAACCCGTTACATCCATGACATTGGCTGCTACTCTGAATTCTGCAACATCAAGGATAGAGGACTAGAAATGAAAATGAAAAGCCCAGCACTTTGTCTGTTTTCTCCCTCTTCTCCAGAAACTTGCACAACTTTTTGTTTTCAGCTTATTTTTTTTATAGCAATCCTATATTTTTATGCAGTCAAATTTATGAGTCTTTTGACAAGGGTTTTTCTTTCTTTGGTGTCCATACTTAGACCATTCCTTTCCAAAGAGTTTATGGATACTTAATATTTTCTTCTAATACTCTATTTTCTTTCATTTAAACTTTTAATCTACTGGGAATTTATTTTGGCATGTATTGTAAGGTAAGACTCTGACTTTACTTTTTCAGATGGTTAGTGCCCCAACACCATTTCTTGGGTTGTCTAGTTTTTCTCTTCTGACTTGAAATGTGTGTGTGTGTGTGTGTGTGTGTGTGTGTGTGTGTGAAGTTTGCTCAAGTGTTTGAATGTACTTATGTTCCACTCACTAAATAAACAATAAATATTTATTAACCAACAACCAAGTGTCTAGCATGTCAACTGATCTATTGATTAACTTGTTGATCTGGTGTTAAATTTTTATAACAAGTTTTAAGACATCGTAGCATTTACTATCACTTTAACTTTGGCAGAATTCATTTTGTCTTCTCTCCTCCCTTCCTCTACCCTCTATTCTTCTTTAACATTTTATTTGATCTTCTTACAGGTTTATTGGTCTAGGTAAACTCTAGGACCATGAAATCAGTTAAGAACAAAATAAGGTTCTTGTCTGGATTCTGAGAAGGGCCACTGGATTCTATTTAGAAACTAACGTGAAGACACAAGACAATGTATGATAATGCAGTCTTCCTAGACAGGAATATTTATTTATTTATTTATTTGGCCCTGTGAGGAGCTGGCTGCCCCTTTGAGGTTGTGCCACCCCTATAAAATGCCTTGTAACATTTTTCATATGGATTCTTCCTCCTCTTTCTCCTCATTCTGATTCTTAAGGTTTTAAGCTTTAATACTATCAATTATAATTGTAAAATTATACTAGGAGCTAGGGATCTCATAGTCACCAAATGGTAAGGCTTTTAAAAATTTTTTTTTTAAATTCCATGTACTTCTGACTCAGAGTTAAATCTTGTTATATTGAGGAGAAAGGTAATTTTTGTTCCAGATTTGTATCTGTGTCATCCTTCATGAAATGTAAGGTTGCATGTTCATAAAGTTTCCAACACCTCCAATCATGTTAGGGATAGTGAAATAAACCCAGCAGGTGGTTCTTCATTTCTCCTGGGTTTGAGGAGCTCTAGTGGAAACCCCCTGGACCACAGGTGTGTGGCAGTGGCTTGTGGTTTTGGCCCTGTGAGGAGCTGGCTGCCCCTTTGAGGCCATGCTACCCCTATAAAATGAGATGACTAAAATCCAGTACTGATCATCCATGATCTTATGTTTCAAATGCTATTAGAAATTTACACTATTAGTAGTCACATTATTGTTGGGTTTTTTTCTCCTAAAAATTAACTAGTTCGAGGCTTGACAATATCAATGAGACAATGAGCTGAAATCATAGTTTCAAAACCCACAGTGGTTATCCCTCATAATATTATAAAATAATAGTGAGAACCACCAATTAATTTCTTCAAAATATGAGCCAAGTTTTCTTTAAATAAATTGCTTTTTAAATCCACAGAGAAAAAACAAAATTTTCTTAAAGAGTATCCTCTCTCCACAGGGAGCCAAAACATTCTGAGAGGTGAACCCCACTCTAAGCACACACTCCCACTTACCAAGTGAAGAATAGTAGCCAGAATTTTATATACTGTTTGAATCTCCTCGGGTTTGAAGCCAATTACTTTCATGGCATCAGCTACAACTTTAAATTCTGCAGCATCATTGATAGAGGACTAGAAATGAAAAGGGAAAGCCTAAGTCAAGACATTTCATATTAGCATTAAAATCTAACAATTTTGAAACTAAGTTCAAGTTTAGCCATGGTCTTGATATCTTTGGAGTAAATCACTAAAGATGATGAGTATCCAGATAATAAAAGTATTTCAGGGATGGGAACATCATTCAGCACATTTACAAGCCCACTTGGGTGTGATAGCCATCTACCTAATAAAAGCACTGTGCACTTTTCTGGAAGCTTCAGTCCTGAGTTGGGATCAGACGTACTGATTAGCACTCCTGATCGGTGAGGGCAAAGGCATGGAATGCAAGATCACAAATGGAAATGTTGAATGTGGGAACTTTCAAAATATATGATTGGCTATTATCATCTGTGGCTCTTTCTGCATAATTTATCTCCCTCTCTTGCATAATCAGACTTTTTATTTCCCAGATGAGGAAAGCAGGCCCCCAAGAGCAAAGCAGCCTGTCTCAGTCACTCGGTAAGCTGTGAAACAGACTGGGCCCGCTTCACTTTTTCACTCACTTGGAAATAAGTCAGATCTTCTAAATGTTCAGGGGAGTTCGAGGATGAATCACCTGCCCTTACGGAGCCATGGCTATGAATTCAGGCTGTGAATTCAACAGAACTTTATAATAAAGCAATGGTTAACTGCCTATGTTACAACGTTTCCCAAAGCAGCCATTATAGACTCATCCTTTTCTTGGTGAGTTGCTGCTCTTGCCTGGACACAGAGACCCAGCATGATGCTCACCTGATGAGGGAACCTCTCTGCTGAGGAACACATGCTCCTCTGGTATCCAGGAGATAATCAAGCAAGAGGTTGCACCCTACTAATTTTTTTTATAACCTTAGGAAAGATAATTAACCTCATTGAGTCTCAATTTTTGTCATGGTTAAAATGGACATAGTATATTTATTTTAGTACTAATGTGAAAATGGAATGAGAATTTGTATAAGGTACCTCCCTAGCTAATAGCACATAAAGACACACAAATATCAGATACTACTATTATTGTAAACCACAACAATGTTGAAATTGCAAAGCAACTGGAGAAAAGTTCTAAAAGTGTGGGGAACTGCTTACTGTTTCCCCAACACCCCTTCCACCCGACTTGTTTCTTACTAACAGAACATTTGTTTACTCTTCTCCAAGCACACAACTGGCCTGCACCTCACCTCATGGGTACATCTCCACTGGTCTAAACTAATTATGTCTAATTATGGGGATCTTGTTTCCCCTGCCAATCACCTGGTTAGCCACAGGCATGTGATGCTATTTTTGATCAATAAGAATCGAGGGAGGGAGAGAGGGAGAGAAGAAAAAAAGAGAATGAATAGAGACAGATAGATATGTGCGTGAAGTGAGTGTTCCAGGGAGAATTATTCCAGTTTATAAAGGGATATAATGCCAGGAATATTTCTTTTGCCTCTGACTCCTAGAATTTTGAGACCATGAGGAAAACCAGACTAAGAGGACAAGATAGTCCCCTGAGTAGAGGAAAGCTGTAAGTTAGTAAGACAAACAAATAAACAAACAAACAAACAAACAAAACCACCTGGGTTCCTAACAACATGTGGAGGCAACAACCATTTCTGGAAGTGCCCTGTCTAGAGGCTTCTTGTCTTGTAAGATAAGTAAGCAACCCATGGTATCTTAATTGTGTAATGAGTTCTACACCTTAAGACTAGTTAAAAATATGTAAAGCAATATTTCTGGATAAAATTATCATTAATTTATATTTGTCTGCAAGGGAAGACAATAAGAATTACACTGTAATATAATAAAAACAAGTTTACTTATTGTGTGATTTCATTTCTAAGCATGCACACAAACCCTGATCAATTATTATTATGTGTGGATGGTAAGATTTAAGCATATTTTTGCTTCCTTTTGGTTCAACTTTATTTTAGGTTTTAACTCAGTTGTTTTTGTTAGAGGGGAAGCGTGGGCGGGGGAGGGAAAGTAGATACAGAACACTTATCAATAAAAGGGAATGTAAGCTGAATTTAACTTAGAAAAAGGCCTAAATATTAACTTAATACTTACTTTCTTGTGGGGGCTCTACTTGGGCCAATCTGACTAAAAAAGAATGTTTCCAGCCACGGGCTTTCTAAGTGTTGATTTTATAATCCTCTCTACATATTCAAGTACCTCTGATGATTCTCAGAAAGGTGGAGTGTTGCCATCTATTGTTCTATTTTCAATTAAATTTCAGCCAAATATTTCTGCTCTGTGAAAAGTTGGTGTTATCTAAATGTCAAATAATGGAAAATTAATTGCAAAAACGTATTATTTATTTTTATGCCTAGTGATAAAAATGGAGCTAAACCAGTAGTGAAAGTATAATTAGCTGAAGGTAAATAATAAAAAAAAAATTAAAGACATATATTCTACAGCTTAGATCCTTTTTTAAGTTTATTTTTCATCCAATGAGAAAAGCAATGCATCTTTCATTAAAGTTTAAAATGTTGAAGAGTAGAACACAAATATCCATAATATCACCCTTCCTGAATAAACAGTTAAAAAATGATCTATGTCCTCCAGATCTTTATTTAATGCATTTATATACTTTTCCTCCTGCAAAACAGAATAATGTAATTATTGCTTATAACCTACCACCAACAAACAGCTGTATTATCACCAATAGTTGTAAAACGACTAGCAGAAAGTTAATTAGAAATAAAAGAGCAAAAATGTACGTGCACATGTGTATGTGAGTGTTTGCATGCAAAGGGAGGGGGAAAATGGATTAATTTTGAAAGCTGAATACACAGAAATGCCCCATGGGCCAAAAAACTATTTCTAGGATACATGGAAATCAGCATCTGGGGGAAAAAACAGTGAATGGAGAATCAGAGTTCTTTTTAATTTTGTTTTGTTTTACTAACTTGCCTTTGGACAAATCATATGAAATCTTAGAAGGCAGACTTCCTTGTTCTACTAATATCTTTATAGTAGCAAAATATTGGAATAGGATTAAAAACATTGAACACAGAAAGAACCTTCTTTTCTGCTAGATGGTGACAAAACATAGGGATGGATTATTTAACAGAGTTGTTGACTATAATGTACGTGTCTCTGTCTCTGAGAGTTTAAAAAATAGAAGAGAATTAGAAGAAATGTGCGTTTGCCTAGAGGCAGCAGGCTCAGTCAGATGAATAGCTAATGTCCCTTCGGATTGTCTGATTCTGTATCTGAACAACCTTGAAGAAGAAATTCCCACCTTTAGCTGAGCTCCAACATGGATGTAGTTGTAGGATGAAAGGGATTTCTGCAGGTGTAGAGAGTGCAGTATCTGCTCTGACCCTCCTTGGAGTAGCTGAAAAACATTTCATTAGAAATAAATTGGTAAGATATATACGGAGGCAAATATATCAAATACCCTACATTTATGTCAATCTGGGGGATTATGGCTTTGAAGAGTTTTTAAAAGTTGTTTGGGCTTTTTGCTTCTTTTTACCTGAAGGTAAATAGCTTCAGTGTCATAAGTTAAGCAGAATGTTATATGATACAGGACAAAAGGTGTGAATAGGATTATCTGGAAAACAGCACCCTGGCCCTGAGGGGGTCACTTGTTTAGCATCCTCAGTACAGAGGGATAGAGCTGTGCCTCTGAATCTGGAGAAAGTCAACCCTCCACAGAGTGAAGAGGCATCGCAGATGCTGGAGGCACACTCAAGAGGAGACTGCTTTTTAGGGCTTGGCTAGCTTCACTTAGCATAATCTGCTCTATTGCCCAGAGGGGTGAAGACAAGAGGACAGGAAGGAGGAGGAAAAAAAAAAAAAAGAGGAGACTGCTTTTCTTCACCTGTTACCCTCTGCGGGGAGGAGGACCAAGGGGTAAGACTCAGTGTTGGATGAAGACAGATTTTAGCACCTTCATTCAAGGGGGAAAACACTGGGAAAAAAGTTTTGAGTGCTTGAAATTAACAACTTTTCTACATGTGCTAGAAAAACAGTTCACTCAAGACAGCCAATTGTCAACAAGAACGGATACAAAATTGACAGCTCTTTTATAGAGAACATGCCTTTGGTGAGGCATTGTGTTTAAATTCTCTATGTTGAACTGTATGCTTTGGTTTACTTAAAAGGGATAACTATCAGACTTTGAAAACCGAGTTTTCATGCAAACACCCAGGAACTTGCATGTGTGAGTGAGGGGTATCTACCATAGTAGTTACCAGACCCTATGGGACACTGTGCTCGATTGCACGGTGGTCCTTCAATCACCTGCATAGACAGCTTATGCATGGAAAGCAATCTCAATTGATTCAGAGCTTTACTTCTTAAAAATCCAAATTAATATTGCTTAATTTGACCACTCTATTTATTAGCCTTGGTTTAGATCAGTTTGGGCTTTAAAAAATTATAATGATGCATCAAACTTGGTTTCTTAATGCAGATTCCATAGCACAAGGGACAGTTAAAAGATTCTGGCCTAGACTCTAACAGTATTCCCAAAAGAATTGTTCAGTTTTTTTCTCCCCTAAGCTTTGATGGGATAAAGACAATTCTCCCTTGAATTTATAAATCCTGGTTATTTTTTGTAAAAAGAAATCATATTGCTTTAGAGTCTCTTTATAATAGCAAAATAAACTGAATTTGCATTTCCAGTTCTGGAACTCAAAAATATAGGGACAAGAGCTTCAATTAAAATGTAATGTTTTGAACAACCAACAATAAAAATAAAAAAAAAAATAAATAAAAAATAAAACCAGGGCCGAAAACTGAAAAATAAATATTAAAAAATCTCTCTCTCTCTTTTTTTTTTTTTAAAAAAAAAACCTTTTAAAAAAATAAAACCAAATTAATTTAGCATATTGAGAATTGACCATACCAAAAATTTTCATGGTCATTACACCATTCTCTGCACTGCAAAGAGACGCAGGTGATGCTCAATCTAGTTCATCTGATTGGTAACCACTGCTAGCCGTCACAAATGGTCATGCTAATTAAATCTCTTATGAAGCATGTGGGGTAAGGTGTGTGCACATGTATACACATCTGTAATGTGTGTGGACCAATGGGCACAAGAGAGGGACGGAACAGGGGAGAGCCCAATACAAAAACACCAATTTCTGGAGCAGCTGGGTAAATGATCAATTCTCTGGCCAACAAGAGATCACTAACCTGATAGAAAGAGTGAAAGCTTCTTTCTCCTGGCTGCTGCACAATCACTCGAGACTAAGGAAAAACACATTCAAATGGTTAAACTCAAAATGTCCCCATAAAATAAAACGGAAGCCACTTTCTTAGGGAATCTTGTGTCTCCAGTGCATTTCAATGTCCTAGGACAAGGAATAGTTCTCACCTAAGACTAGATCTTCCCTGTTTCTCAAGCATTTTTTTTTTTATAATTCTTAAAACAGAGGTTCCTAAAACTTTCTGAGCAATGAAGCTATTTTGATTTTTCTTTTAAATCAGGAGCCTAAAGATAGTATTTTGTGAGGTTTGGAGATTGGAAGTAGGGAGAATAGAAAGGAATGCTTTGGGAGGACTATTCCCTTCCCCAGGGTCTGCTGGCATTTTAAAGAGCAAGGCTGTATATCCTGTAATAAAACCAGTTGCGCAAGATCAGTCCCTAGGGACTCCTGCCTTAGATGGTTCCAGAAAGACTGCTGTTAGGATAGGGCTCAAAATGTGAGTTCGTCCAGTCTGAAGGGATTCTTTTGATTAAACATGTGCGTAAAGCCATGAAATATTTTGTAAAAAGAAGACTGATAACACTTGGCATTTCCCGTCCTTTTCTAACAGGCTCTGATAAAACACTCATTTCCTTAACACTCTGACCTCAATATAACAAAAATAAAGATTATGCTGCATTATACTGCCCTAAAAGAAGCTACAGAGTAAATGGGACGGGAAATCCTTAACTTAGAAGGCATGTCCTCTTAGGTCAGAGCACAACTTAAGGTGGAGACTCAGCTCTATTAAGTACAAGCTTAACAGTGAATCTTGGGGATGCACGTGCTCCTGCAGTCAGACCCAGCGATGATCAAGATTAGTTAGGACATGACTGTTCTGCCAGTCCCAAGAGGAAAGTTTTATTTGAATCTCCTAGAAATTGGGCCTAACATTTGCTTAGGCAGATAAAACATATTCCAAGTTTTCACTGACCAAATACAGTATGCTTTATAATTAGGGTGTAAGATCGCAGAGTATGTATGTGATACTACAAAGCAGTGAACAAACAGAACCTAAGAAGAAAAGGAAATTTCAAATTAATTAAAAAGAACATAGATGGAAGAGGGTGATGGATAAAGACTAGAACTGACGAGTCCTAGTTGGTTTTTGGTTAAACCTGACCCAGAAGTTTGTGTTCACTCTCTTTCAATCCCCCTGCATATGGCCCTTTCCCCCAAAATCTGTATCTACCAAATCCATAAATTTTTCTAACTTGGTATTACAAGTGCTAATAAGAAAACACAAAAGGAGAATCTTATCACACAAAGCTAACTTGAGGAGGGAGAAAAGGATTAAAAACTACTTTAAAGCTAAAAAGTTAAATTCTATAAATAGAATCAAGTATTTAAAAAATAACATTTAGCATTTATAAACATTATCCTCAGAAATTAGCACACTTTACCTTCTCCAATAAGTAGTTGTTGATATGCCCACCAATAGGGTCTCCTTTGAAATCAAAGTTGATATCCATGTATTTTCCAAACCTGCTTGAGTTGTCATTACGGTTGGTTTTGGCATTTCCAAAAGCTTCCAAAACACAGTTGGACTTAAGCAGCATATTCTTCACTCTTTAATACAGATAAGTGAAAGTCATTATAAAAAGTTGCAGAGACTAGGACTTTTAAAAAATTGGACTTTGCTAAAACATTCACATATTTATTGTAAATATGCAAATATTTACAGATTGTAGCACTGTTTGCAATATTAAGAAAACAAAAACAAATGTGCACTAAGGGGGTAGATAAAATACATTTTTGTTTCCCAGTATAATGAAATGCTACATAGATGTTAAAAATAAAGAAGTACATCAACATATATAGAAAGGTATCCAGAAATGTACTAATGGATGTGAAATCAAACTGAAATATATATATTGCAGGAACTGAGTGTGTATGTGTGCATGCACAACCAGGGAATGTCTGGTGCACACAAACATGTGTTAGTAAACCTCTATAGATCTAGAGGGAACAGCACATGTCACTATGTAATCTAGGCAGGAGGTTGACGGGGTAGGCAAGGGGAGATTTCAGGGAACTTTTACCTTCAACTTAGTTCAATAATTTTTGGTTTTTTTTTTCATTTTTAAAAGAATATGTTTTATTTCTGTAAGGAAAAAATTTTAGAAAGTATGTTCTGAAAAGAAAAAGAATAGATGATACAGTAGAGGAGAAAAAAATTAAAAGTATTTGCTTATCAAGCCTAGATTAGTGACATTTAAAAGACATTGTTTTAGTTGTTGATCAACCTTTAATTAATTTATTTATACATGGTGCTGAGAACCCAGTGCCTCACACATACTAGGCAAGCGCTCTACCACTGAGCTACAACTGCAGCCCCAAATAGTGACATTTTATTGTACTTAGTTATACCCAATAAATTTGATCTTTACTAATTCAGGAATTGTTCATTATTTTGTTTGAAGCTGTGTGAAATCTCTCCTTTGTATCAGTCGTGGAATGCATTTTTCACTCAATATTAAGTTTTTATAGAGTAGTCTTTCCCAATGGATATATTTAAACTTCATGCTAGTCCTTATGTCTTGTTTTTATTTCTCTGACAAAATCCCTCTCATACAGGCATACCTGCAGAAAAGTAGCCTCTGAAACAGCCCAATGGAACAGATCCATTGTTCTTCCCACGAATACCGCAAGTGACCCTTCGGCCTTATCACCTCATAAATTAAAGTATACTTTTAAAATGTGTGTGGAAACTTCTTGTTCAAAAAGGAAACTATAAAACTATGGTAAGACATGCTTGTGAAAGACTAGTAAGTGTTTACATGCCTTACTCTACTCCAAGAAATAAGATTAATTTCATTCTCAGCTAGTTATTCTCCTGAGCTCCTAAGGAAATGAGGAAACCTTGATCCAATCCTCATCTTTGTTAGACTACAACGTCAGAAGTGGGATATGGCACAATTAAGAAGAATGCCTGATTAATGATGGAAAGCGCTCACCCATGTAGGGCCACTGAGTCTATATTTTCCTCTTTATGTCAGCCCAGTTCCCTGTCTTCCTCATTAGAAAAATGAAGGTTGTGACGCCTAGATGGGATGTGACTTCAGGAAATTAACAACCCCCTTTAAAGCTGCTGCCTATTAGGAAAAGATTCTTTTTCTCTTCCAAAATGCTGCACCACATAAGAAAGTCAAGTAATTTTGCTTTATAATCACATCTTTTAAAAGCCCATCCATTCATTCCTTGAATGTTTGCTGAATAAACGCTGTTTGTCAGTGGGTCCTACCTGCAGGGCTGTGCAGACCAGCTGTATTGCTCATCGCAGCGTGAGCAGCAGCGTGGCTTGGCACGAGCCCCTCTCAGGGGTGAACCTTACTTAGAACTTCCAATATGGGCAGGTTCTGGTTGCAGCAATGATGGGAAGGCACAGATAGGCCTTCCAGACCAGCTTCACTCAGAACACAGTTTAAAAATAAAACAAACAAGGAACAAGGAACTTGCGACAGCTTCGACAATAAAGTACAGAGTACTTTATAATGTACTAGAGTACATTATAACAGCTCTGTTGACTGCATGTAAGGCAGAAGTTATACTTTCAACTGTTTCAGAGTAATAAAAAAGAAAAAAATATGTATATATATATAAAATATTTACTATAGTAGTATTTTTCTACTAAAAACAAATCTAGAAATAGAGTAACAAATAGAATTAGAGAGAGATGATATGCAATATGAGAATCAAAGCAGTTTAATTATCAAAAAATTGTTTGACATCTGTCCGTTTAGGCCCTGCCAATCTGTAAAGAGAATGGGGCTCCCACATTACCTACTCGCTGTCCGTCAAGCCTTACCTTTCCACCTCTGCTCTCTGACTGGGGTTGGTGATGGCCGCAATGTACTGCATGATGTACTTACTGGCTTCTGTTTTACCAGCTCCACTTTCCCCTGGAGGAAAGAAATTATGCAAGACTTAACATCTTAATTTAAACCAAGATTAAACTAGTTTTCAGTAGAATAATTTTAAATTTCGATGTTATTCACTTCAGATCCCTTGTGCTACAGAGAGTCCTTCCATTTTGCAAGTTATCTTGCCCTGTATTGCCTCTAACAGATCTGAATATGTTGGGGGAGGGGAACTATTATAGAAGTAAAATAATGAATAGACTGAAGATCAAGGGTAAATTCTGGTAAACCATTTCTTACACTAAGTCTTATGTTGAGCCTTAATTTTAGACAATGGCTTCTAAAACTAGTAGAAATGAAGCAAGGTTGTGATTCAAGCAGTGGCCAGAGCTAAATTTGTGTAATGTATTTTCTATGATGGAATTTCATTTAACTTAAAGGGGATAAATATAGGGTGTTCATTTATATATTTATTTATTTTGGATTGAACACAGGAGTGCTTAACACTGAACCACATCCCCAACCTTTTTAAGATATTTTATTTAGCGATAGGGTCTCACCGAGTTGCTTAGGAATATAATTCTTTTTTAAAACTAAAGTTAGAGGTAGGTGTCATGGCGCATGCCCATAGTCCTGCTACTCAGGGAAGATTGCCTGAGCTCAGAAGTTTGAGGCTAGCTTGGCAACATAGTGACACTTAGTCTCTTAAAAAAAAAAATTAGGAGTAATTGTAGTGAAGAAAAACCCTACCAAACTCCAGAAACAAAGTATCACAGAAAAAGCATGACACTCAGGATAATTGGGGGTGGAAGGAAGGGATCAATTTGGAAGTTCTATCTTATTTTTGACAATCAAAACAAAATAATGATCATAAAAGTGTTTTTTAAAAGCATAAAACCACTAATAAACCTCACAAATGTGAGGTCTTATTAGCACTAACAGAAATTCCCAGAGGTGGGGCGAGGCCAACCTGGACTAGCCAACAGATATCTCCCAGTTCTCATTTCACTACACAAGATGCCTTGAAGGGCCTGAGGTACTTGGGTAGCTCAGCTCCAGTTCCTGCATGTGGGGCAGTAGTAGCCCAGGTCCCTCCACAATGGGCTTGAAAGCTCAGGCCCTGAGCTCCAAAGGCCTATTTTTGCCCCTGGGCCTCTGCATGTGCCACCGCACTAGCTCCCAAGCAGCAGTCTGACTTTGACTTTATTCTTCTGTTTGGAATCTCAGTCTTTAATTTTCTTGGTTTCGTTCTGTTACTATTTAAAATGTTTTGGTTACTTTTATCTGGTACTTACATGTGCTGGGGATAGGAGGGAGCATATTCCATGCTGGGTCAGTCTGCAAACCCACTGGAAGTATCACATAATTTTTTTTTTTCTTTGAGATGAGTCTCCATTGCCCTGGCTGACCTTAAACTCCTAGGCTCAAGTGATCCTCCCCACCTCAGCTTCTAGAACCAGGACTAGCAGATGATCAGAAATGACATAAATAACTTGGTATGTAATGGTCATTACTACCCCCTCCTATAAAATTGCTTAGGTTTTTGCCTTAAAGATTATTTCACTGGGGATGAGGATGTAGCTCAGTGGTAGGGTGCTTGCCTGGCACAAGCCCTGGGTTTGACTCTCAGTACTGTGCATGTGTGTGTGTGTGTGTGTGTGTGTGTGTTTGAACAGACACACATACATACACTCTCATCAATTATGTACCAAATAAATACATCTTGACCTTGATGTGCCAGGGACCCCTTCAAATACCTGATATCACGATACAGGTGTCTTTTGATCGCCTCTTCATAGCTTTGTAAGCAGCATCAGCGATAGCAAAAAGATGAGGGGGTCTCTCGTAGAGCTCGCGGCCTCGATAGTGCTCGATTATGTCCCTCCCATAGATGTTCAGAGACTTGTAAGGATTCACAGAAACAACGACTTCGCCAATGAACGTGTAGATGCGCCCCTTCTCAAATCTGTACGGGAGCAAAACAAAGGAAGACATAGCTATGGTTATGTAGAAATGCTACTTCTTTCCTGAGCGTCTCTTATTTCCAGTCAAGTTCAAATACCCCAGCAACAACTTCTGAACTGATGTGCCATTGATTCCGAGTTTGCTTTTAGAGACCATGTTTGAGGCTATTTCCTTCCGATGCCACCAACAGAAAACACCAGTAAGGATTAAAAATCAGCAAGAAAGAAGAATTTAACTTGTTGGAGGCCAAAGATTTACTGTTTCCAAAATATAGATGGCCAAGAAGAAAAAAGTAAAATCAGTAGAAGAAAATCTCAGAGTTCTAGGAGAAAAAGAAATAATGTTGAACCACTCAGCTACATTTTCAATTACAAAGAGGCCTGCCCAAGCACGAATATATTTCTTCTCTTACTTGAAACCTTGCTAAAATGTCAGGAAAGGAATAAAAACAGTAAAATCCATACCAGCATGGTAGAGGAGAAGACACTTCTGTCTGGTATAAATAAAATTTATTTTTTTTTAGTGACAGCCTAAAATCCCATGGTGTAGGTAAATCACAGTCTAGTCGATGATTCTCCTTCCCTCTGGAGACTATGTATAGTACTGCAGAAATTACTGTGGACACATAATCTTACAAATCAGGGCTGTTATTTCTGTGGGAAAGAGTCTAAGGAATGGGACAGCTGGTTGAAAGATATGTGTATTTTAAAAGTAACTTTAATATGATTGCAACTCCCCCTCCCCCCCCCAAAAATACAAAGGTTGAAAAGCTATCCATATACGTATTTGCATGCATATGTGTACATGAATATATTTGATGAGTATATGAGCATGGGAAAATGTGGAAGAATATGTTGCTTCATTCATCCTTGGATGCGCACAGTAGGGTGTACGGATAAAGGGGTCTGATGAGGAAGGTGACGTGGGCAGGTGGGAGGAGGACAAAGGAAAAGAGTGAAAACCTTATGATTGCAATTGTAAATATAGACACATGAATTTGCATGAAGAAAGCACTTGAACATAAAACTTAGAAAACCTGTAGAGATCTGCTATTTACCTCGCAATCCACCCCCCCACACACATGTGAACCAGAGCTTGGCTGTTTCTACACAAGTGTTTGTCACCACACTCCACCTGCTGGATCGAGGCACAGATGGACACACGTGTTTGCCCTTCAGTATCCAGGGACACTGGCTCCAGTAACCCCAGAAGATATCAGAATTTGTGGATGCTCAAGTCCCTTATATAAAATTCCATAGTATTTGTGTAGAACCCACACTTTAACTCATCTCTTGGCTGTTTGTAATACCTAATAGGATGTAAATGCCATGGAAATAGTTGTAATACTATGTTATCTAGGGAATAATAAGAGGGAAAGTCTGTACATGTTCAGTATAGGCACAATTTTCTTCCCCAGATATTTTTGATCCAGAGTCGGTTGCTTCTGTGAATGTGGAGGGGCAGCTGTATATCATCACATCCCAGAGCTGGTGGAGAAGAGCCCCCAGAGAGGCTCTGGGGTGCTCCCCAGACGCACGCCTCTCAGCACCTGGCTGGTGGCCAACAGGGCAGGGAAATAACTAAGCTTTGGGGACCAAAATGTAAGATCTTTGAACTTCCTTTAAACTAGAATGAAGGTTGTTGGCTATAATTAGGAGTAGAAACAAACATGCAGATAATGTCAATAGTAAGTTAGAACCAAGATTTTTATCAAGTACTTAGTGAGTATTTAAATAAAAGTTATCAAGTATTTTGAGGTTTTCTGTGCATTTTTCAGTTGGGGTTTTACTATTCATCCTCCTTGCTGTTAGAAATTTTATAAGGTAGTTGAAAGCATTGACTTTAGAGTCTTTTCATCTTAGTCTGAAGGTTCATATTACAAACTTAACAGTAGTGAGGTCTTGTGAAAGCTAATTAACCTCCCTGTGTTTCAGCTTTTCCATCTGTAAAATGGCAATGATTACACTCCTCTATTCTTCTAGCATTGAGTAAGTACTTTTTTTTTTTAAAGCAATTAATCTTGGGGCTTGCCTGGGCTCAGTGGTAGAGCGCTCGCCTAGCATGTGTGAGGCACTGGGTTCGATTCTCAGCACCACATAAATATAAGAAAATGAAATAAAGGTGTTATGTCCATCTTCAACTAAAAAAAAATTTTAAAAAGGCAATTAGTCTTTATAATTCTGATATGTTATTCATGAAGGGCATTTTTAGTAAAAGTTTATATATATATATGTATAAATATATATATACATATAGTTGTAGGAATTTTAATTATATTTTATATGTGTATATATATTTAGTTGTAGTTGGACACAATACCTTTATGAGGATCAAACCCAGTGCCTTGCACATGCTAGGCAAGTGTTCTATCTCTGAGCTACAACCCTAGCCCAGGCTTTTAATTTATTAACATTGCTACTGAAATCAGAGCCATTAGTACACCTGAGGCATCACCATAGTCTGATTGCTTGCCTCAGTTGTCAATGAACTCCAAGTCACCAGAAAAATGTCTACACAACTCATGTTTAAAGACCTACAAAAAAATGGGCTGGGGCTGTAGCTCAGTGGTAGAGTGTTTGCCTCTTACGTGGAAGGCACTGGGTTTGATCCTCAGCACCATGTAAAAATAAAATGAAGACATTGTGTCTACCTACAACTAAAAAACATTTTTAAAAAAGACCTACAAAAATAACAAAAGGTAAGATTTATCACTCAAGTGTTTCTGGCTTAACCTGCAAATCTGTAGTATACGCCCACCAGGTATCTCTAAGGAACTTAATTAAAATGACAAGATTCTTTAGTCTTTAAAAACTTCTCAATGAGGAAAAAATAGCAGAAAATAGCAAAAGGACATTAGGAAAGTCAGCTCATGATTCTGGGACCCCATGACTAGGAGACACAACAAATAATATGAGTTAGAATGTTGTTCTAAGATTCCAGGTTTGTTCAATAATATACTTTATTTCTCACTAGTTACTAGAGCCAGTAATAGATCATTCTTCTTTAAAATTCTATTTTAGCAAATAAAAAATGTTTATCAAAACCTCTAGGCATCATGTTTGTAAAATGCAATTAAAATTCCTACACACAGTCAATGACTATTATGAATCATGCATAACTATTATCTTGACGATAAACAGTAGAGACTCAGAAAAATACAATATTAAATATAATGCTTCAACAATTTGCAAAACATCAGAAGCACATCTTATTTGAAATTCTATCAAACTTTCAATTTGATTAGGTCTCAAAAATCACCACTAGATGGTGCTAATATACACTTTAACAAACTCAAAAGATTTGCGACTGCTTTGGATGGGTTCAGGGTGAGGAGCAAGCCAGGTTTTCTGGAGGAACTGCAGTAATTATCCTAGATGACAAACAGGATTATGCCATCTGTTACAGGAGAACGTGGAAGGCATTTCTATGACCTCAGAGTGAAAACCTGTTAAGACAAACTTGTAATTCATCCTTCAAATATGTATCTGCTTGGCTTCAGACAAAAGGCCTAGCCCTTGGCGTTAAAAAAAAGAGAGAGAGAAAAGAACATGAAAGCACTATAAATAAATAATAACAACAGAGAATGACAGGTGGGGCGATAAAAGCATGTGCTATATGGTGTCAAAGGCTGTCACAACACACTAGTCTGAATGAGGAATACTGGGAGTCATGGCAGGGCGTGTAAGGTCTGGCCTGGACGTTCCTTTTCACTTAAATTCTAACTAGCACCCAAACTTCCACCCATTAAAACCTTCCCCACCCTCTCTGTCACCCTTGCTCTCACGTGAATGAGCTATTTACAGTTCCCACGGGCACCATGCCTTCTTGATTTTGCCAGTGGGGTTCCTTCTGCCCAGCACACCTTCTGCCTGGTCTCTTCCTGCAGGTACCCAGTGGGTTCCCACTCATTCTTCAAAAGCAGTTCATTCCTTGAGGGAGTCATTCTTGATGTCCTGCCTCTGACACCAAGATTCGGACCTTTGCTCACTTCTTTTCCCCCTTTAGAGTTCCCCAAATGGTTAAAATAGCTTGACAATCACTGATGCTTTTTTTAAAACGTAAGAAAATTTTAAAGTATTTCTTAAAAGGGCTAGATGTTTTCACTGGCTTTTAAATGAAACCAAGGAGTTCTAAAAGGTTTTGGATGTGTAGCAATGGAAAAATTATAAAGATAATGCCTTTGGAGAACAATAGCCCTTTGGAAATAAACTCTGAAACACTTATTTTTTTTAAAAAAGGTAGCCTCCTTAACTTGCAAATGTCACTTGTATTCAAGACCATCCACAGTAGGAAGTCAAGACGTGAGTTCCTTAGGATGAGTCATGGGCAGACTGCGTAGGACCCTACAGAGACATACAGGCTCTGTGTGTGTGTGTGTGTGTGTGTGTGTGTGTGTGTGTGTGTGTGTGTAACAGGGAAGTGGTTGGCCTCACCAGAGCTACTGAATGTCACTGAACAGTTAGAAAAATTCAACAAAATAAGATTTGTTTATGATATTATAGGCTTTGAAAGCCAGGCTGTGAAGAATTAGCAAAGATTCACCCACTGCTAGAATTAATAGCCTTGGTTGACTTCTTGAAATACACGTAATCAGTCAGAATCAGGAGGAAAAGCCTCTGTAAATGGTCTAGCATGCATTTAATAAAATCTTTTTTCCATAGGTCTTACTCATTGTTTCATGAGGAACCTACACATTCTGAATAGGTCTTGCTTAGTCACACTATTTGACCCAATTTCCTTCCCTTTCCAGTGTGAAGAAAATCTTAAACACCCTTATTTCTCAGGAGAGGTTTGTCTACATATGCTTTCTTCAGTAACTATTGATTAAATTTTCCAAACTAAGTCCCCAGGGATAGTGCTAAATTCACTGGCTGATCATTGTGCTGTCTGAGTTTCTCAGCAGCATTGGACATGGACTCCCGATTCCTCAACAGCCTCTTTCTTGGCTTCTGGGAGATCATATTCTCTAGGTTTCCTTCCGACTTCTACAGTTTTCCTTTC